GCACCTGTCCGATGAGCAGCAGCTGGGTGAGTGGCACGTCCCCGTCTGACGAGGAGCAGCCACGCGTGCAGCTCACTCCCATCCAAAGAGCAGCAGCCTCGCAAGCAGCCCACCCCCGTCCAAGGAGCAGCAGACTTGCAATCAACCTATCCAAGTCCTAGGAGCAGTAGCCCCACAAGCAGCCCACCACATCAGAGGAACAACAGCAGCGTGCAGCCAGCCCCCATTCAAGGATCAGCAGCCACATGAGCAGTCTGCCCCAGTTCAAGGAGTAGCAGCTGCGTGTGTAGCCCGCCCCCATCCAAGGAACAGCAGCCTCCTGATCACCACACCCTCTGTCTGAGGAACAACGGCTGTGTGTGAAGCCTCCCCCCACCAGCCAGAGGAGCCACCACAGCTGTGAACAGCACCCACCAGAGGAGCTGCTGTCAATTGAGGAGCAGCTGCTACCACAACCGCCCGAGGAGCAACCACAGCCCGAGGAGCCACTGCCACCCAAGGACTCAACATCTAGATATGTCGGTGAGATCAAACATGGGTAGACAAAGAAACCCCCAAAGGAAAGAAAAGGAGGACTCGACAGAAAAGCAGCTAAGTGAAACAGAGGCATGCAGCATGACAGAAAAAGAATTCAGATTAAGGGTCCTAGAATGCATAAACCAGATGGAGGTGACACGTGAACTCATTTTTTTGGTTGATTTTTCTTTGTTAAATGGCATTTAAATATATAAAATAAATATCAAAAATATAAATCTTTGTTTTACTATGGTTGCAAATATCAAAAAATTTCTATATGTGACACAGCACCAGAGTTAAGTTAGGGTTTTTCAAAATGCTGACACGCCGAGCTCAAAAGGTTCGCCATCACTGATGTAAGCCCTGAGGATATAGCAATCAACAAACCAAAGTCTCCTCCCTCATGGAACTCAACTTTGAGGGGTTGGAAAAGATAGACAGATAAGTCACTTGGGGAGGAGTGAGCCCCTCAAGGGCATGTTTGATCATGGGTAATGGCAGGGTTCTTGCTCTGCCAAATGCCAAGTGTGGGGAGGAGCAGAACTGTTCAGGACAGAAGGAGCGGAACTGTTCAGAACAGGAGAGGAAGAGTTGTGGAGAACCCCAGAGAAGGTGGGGAACAGGCACCTGGTGTCACAAATAGTTTCCATGCACTAAATAGGTAGGGAATTATTATGTAAAGAAAGCTATGGGCCAAGACGTGCTTCTAAAGTTTTGTCTAAAAGTTTCCTTCGTTTTTATATTTTCATGGGCTAAAAACACCAACCTAGCTTTCTTCATCTCAGTCCCACTAGGTGGGTGAAACTATTTTTTACATTTTCTTTTAATAATGCCATTATTGCCCTAGCCGGTTTGGCTCAATGGATAGAGCATCGGGCTGGGGACTGAAGGGTCCCAGGTTCGATTCTGGTCAAGGGCATGTACCTTGGTTGCAGGCACATCCCCAGTAGGGGGTGTGCAGGAGACAGCTGATCGATGCTTCTCTCTCATCGATGTTTCTAACTCTCTACCCCTCTCCCTTCCTCTCTGTAAAAAATCAATAAAATATATATTTATTGGGGCTAAGGTGCTGCAGCTTGCTTTTGCAATATCAAGACAAATGTCGACACTGACAAAGAAGAAATAATGTCTTAATGTTTTTATGAAACTAGTTTGACCTTGTAGGCCTTCTGTAAAGGTCCCTAGGACTCCCAGGGTCCGTAGGACATATTTTGAGAACCAGTGCTCTAAAAAAACAGTTTGCTGTCTATATATATATATATAAAACCTTACTATGCAAATAGATCGAACGGCAGAACAACTGAACAACTGAACAACCGGTCGCTATGACGTGTGCTGACCACCAGGGGACGTGCATGGAACATGGCGGGCGTCAGCTGCGGTGGGATGGTGGAGCAGATGAGCGGGGGCCCCAGACCAAGGCAGGGCGCCAGTCGGTTGCTGTCATCGGGGCAAAGCCTCTGGTGGCTACTGAAAATTCTTTACTCCTGTGCACTGCAGTCTGCTTGGCACTTGCACCCGCTGCCAGTGCCTGACGCCATCAGCAGGTGCGAGTGGCAGCTGCCAGCCCCAATCGTCCCTCAGGGTTTCTCCACCTCCCCCTGCTCCTGAGGGGCAATCAGGGCTGGCAGCTGCCTCTCACACCCACTGCTGGCAACAGCCCTGCTCATACCTGCTGCTGGTGCCAGAGCTGCCACTTGCACCCACTGCTGGCGCTGGCCCACTCACACCCACAGCCAGCACCGGAGCTGCTGCTTGCACCTGCTGCCAGCACCCTCTGCTGGCGCCTGGGGCAGCCACCGATCACCCCTGAGGGCTTCTCCACCTCCCCCTGCTCCTGAGGGGCAATGGGGCAGCAGTCGCTGCCCACTCCCACTGCTGGCGCCAGCTCCGTGAACCGTCAGCGCATGGGAGCGGCAGCAGGAGTGGGACTGCTGGCAGAGAGGGGGCTTGGGGCCACGGTGGGAGGGGCTGGCTGGGGGCACAGAGGATGGGCCAAGACCCATCCCTGTGCCCACCACAGCCTCGAGGCCCACAGTTCTTTCAAGGTGCATGAATTCGTGCAGTGGGGCCCTAATCCTATCTAATAATAGACAAACATGGTAATTTACCATACCTTCGCTACACCTCCCATTGGCTAATCAGCGCAATATGCAAATTAACCGCCAACAAAGATGGCGGCTAATTTGCACACTGCAGGCAGGGTGGGACAGCGCCATCCTGCCTGCCCTGCTGCCATCCGGGCCTGCTATCTGCGACCTGGGCGGCAGGTGTCCCGTGTGTGACCCGACCCGGGGCGGCCAGGCGGGGCAGCAGCGAT